CAACAATATCAACTTGTGCAGTATTCTCACAATCTCACATCTACTCCACTAATTACACTTTACGTATTACATAATGAAATTATATTATGACTGTCTTTTTGTGTCTATTATGACTCAAAGAAAATCTTTCAGACTTTGACTAATACTTTGCTGGTCTTTTGTAACAGTTTTTCTAACTACTCATAATCTCTCATTTAAAAAATGACTCCTGTAAAGCATGTTGTGATACTGCTTTGACTTTGCTAAGTTCTAAGACTTTTGAAAGCTGTAAAGTGTTCGCCCAGCTTCATTCTGCATCGTGATTATACAGTATAATAGTAAATTACATTTCGGTTTGAAAGCCATGTTAGCAATCTGAGATATAACGTTATTTTCTTCAACTGGCTTAACGAGGTTGACTGGAATAGAAACCTTGATGATAATGAAAATAAATATGCCCTTTTGCAGGTATGATAGCTTGTTATGTTTTTTCACCCGAGGCAGCAATCTTCTTCAGCTGACCTAGTTTTCCAAACAAGTTAAAGGGGTAGGGTGCCTACTGCTCATTACGAATTTAAGTAATGAAAGAATTGTGAGATGTTTTGAAGCTGTGATTACTCAATATGCTGAGAGTGGATCTGATGCAGTTTGCAGGCATTGTGCTCTTAATCCATGCACTCTTCAGAAGTACCAAATTTCATAATAAATTTGTATTCCTGATATTGTCGGAATTTTCCCAGCTTCAAGTTGAAAAGTTGTTTCACTTTATATAGATCTAGAACAGTCTCAATATGAGATATATTAGACAAATTCATCTGAAGATTTTGAGTCCTCATACATTTTTTCTTTGGCTAAAAAAATTCAGGATTTAATTTTTTTTTTTCGTAGCCATTTGGCACCTCTGACACTTATGTTGTAGAAGGTACACGAATATAAAAGAAAAGTAATTGCATTGATGAAATGTTCTAAGATGTTATCTTTTAAATACATGTTCTGACAGAGCAAAAGGAAGTTGATCGTTTTACAACTTTTAATGCAGTCTTAGTGTTGTTTCCTTTCTTTCATAGAGCTTTCGAGAATGGCCATAGCTGAATGGCGAATTTCACACAGAATTTTCTTTTTTCTTCTGATATCAGTTACTGATTCTACTGATACTGTTATATAGTCATGTAATCTGTACAAAAATATCACCCCCAGCCGCTACACTTTTGAAGTAGTTTTATTGGATGTGAATTGATATAAATGCATATGTGTAAAATTAGCATGAAACAGTTTCTATAATTTATTAAGTCTTGAGGAAGTGAATTATCCTTGACTCAAGCAGGCTGTGGAATTTTCTGAATTGGTTTTTGTTTACAGCTGACAGTCAGAGAGGCAAAAAGAACTTTGAAGGGGGTAAAATCTTTTTAAAAACTCAAAAGACGGATTCATGGAAATAATGATACATATTATTTTGCTCTTCACTCTTCATGTTTATTGTACATGCAATCATGGTCAGAAGTCATGGGAGAAATTGATTTTTTAAATGGATTAAGATAGAATGATGAAACTGCAGTCATGTCAGAATATTCTTCGAGCTACTACTAAAAAGTATGTTTGCTTTATTCTCTAACCTTTGGGAGATGGTTTACTCTACTGAATAGCCTCGTCATTTCTTTGCTTCCTTTTTATTTCAGCCTAGATCACATGCAAAGACGGTGAGATGTCCGTTCTCTGAATTCAGTATTAAACTTTTTCCAAGTTTGCCATGTTATACCTGTCTTTCTTTTTTTATGGTTGAAAATTATTCATTCAAGATATTGAATTAGTTTGCTTTGGAATAATCATGAGTTCTATTTTTAACTTGCTTGGTCTGAATTGATTACTGATGTGTGAAAAACTTATTTTTTTTAAAAGTATTTTAGTTGGGGGTTGTTGTTATTTTTTTGTGAGCAGTTGTTTTGCGGTGGGGTTTTTGGGGTTTTTTTGGGTTTTGTTGTTTTTCTTCTTATCTTCTCAGCTAATGTTGCCTCGGACTCAGAAATGAGAAATTGTCCAAGGAAAGATTAATTGCAGCTTGTGGTTTTTGGATTCGTGAATGGACAGCCATTTGTTCTTTTCTATTGCCAGAGCATGTGCGTAGTGTGTGATGTCTTCTGTTGTGTGAAGCTCATTGTTGTTTGACTGTCATCCTGAACTAGAAGGTGATTTATTGGTACATATACTCTTTTACCTTTTTCTAAACATTATTCTTCTCTTTAATATATGTTTTGCGACGTGGTAGAATCAGGTGGTGGAGTTATTGGTATCCTCTTAAAGCTTGTTCGTTTGTCTTTGGATACAAAAAATATCCAACTGTCTTGGATAGATCTCAAGGTAGCCTGTTTCTTTGATTTCGGTATTTTGACGAGAGCCTGATTTCACCACGCTGCCTCACATATGTCCAATGGTCTTTTTTTGACAATTTTTTTTAACTGTCAAAAGTTGAATAACATGAATATGATAATAAGATTGACCTTTTTTTTTTTTGTACAGTTATATTATTATACAAAGTCAGTTTTTAAAATGATTAATCTCATTTTTCCTTTGTGTTAGTTACGTGATTGCATTTTTCTTCACTGCTTGACAGGATTTCATGAAATACCAGAGCTGTCCAAAAAGTAAAGATAAAAAGGCCATACATAGATGCATAAAATTGGTCAAAAGCAGAAGTGTGTAAGATCAATCAACATGTCAAAGGAAAGAAATTTACCAAAATTTGCTATAAACTCATTGAGGTGTATTGCGAAAATGTTTTAAGTGCGAGTATGTCAGCGGTGCAGTTTGTTTAATGTGAGACAGACAAATCTTGACAACAAGTGCACATTCAGGGCAGCTGCAAATTTCAAAGTAAACCTGACAGTCACGGACTTGAAACTTTTTTTCATGAAGATAGTCTGCTGAAAGAAAGGAAGATTGCTATGGCTATTGGCCTTCAGAAATCAGTGTTTCTTGAAATTATCTGCGAGAAGCTACTGTTTCACAAGTGTTGGTGCAATGGATCCCAAATCAACAGACTGAAAGAGTACCTGATAGTGCTCCAAGGCCATTGTTCTCCAGCATGACAATGTTGTTCCTCTGCTACTCAAATGGTAAATCTGACTAAAGTCTACTACTGCTTCTTCCACGTAGTCCTAATTTTACTGCGTCAAACTAAATCTTTTGGGTCCTGGAGCAGTATTTATCTGGAAAAATGTTCACAGAAGATAATGATTTTGTGGCCTCTGTGGCTTATTGGTTAGGCTCTCAGACTCGCAATCGTATGGTCGTGGGTTCGAATCCCATTTGGGGCCCGATGTTGTGTCCTTAGGAAAGACACTTTACACGAATTTTCCTCCCTTCACCTGGTGGGAATGGGTACCCAGCTGTAGACAGTGAAAGATCTTGTCAGTTTGTTAGTGTTTGAGCACTTAATCAGCAGGTTGCAATGTATGCTTCCGAATGTTTCAGAGTGCTCTATGGTCTGCTGGGGTAATGATTTAGTGTGAAGCGCATAGAGCTTGCTGTCGAGCGAGGATATATGCATTAAACAAATGCTATTATTATTATTATTATTATATTCCATTATTTGCGCAGATGGTTGGAGGGTGCCATTGGTAGGTCTTGTTTCTTTACCTTCCTTCTGGCATTCCTGTCTGTCTGTCCGTTTTACTTTTCCCAGCGCTAAATGACTGTTATTGTGTCAATGTGCTACTCTTAAATCAAACAAACAAAACGCTTTTCATGCTGTTGTTAAATGGTGAACTTCTTTTTCAGAAAGTGGATCTCTGTGAGTGGAATCCGGTCAACCGGAGTCTCAGCGTCACTTGGCATTGCACAGTACCTCTCAGAAAAGTTGACAGATGACATGGGCGTTTTACCAAGTACTGGTGACAATGTCACCCTTTTGGACATTGACTGGAAGATCAGCGAGAATGGGCAGTCAGTTATATTTGATGACAAGTACATATATCAAGCATCCCACCCACTTTTTGTCTACGGCCATCAGAGAATGGAGAGTAAATTATAGTGGTGTTACTTTTGCCGTACAGTATAACACGGATAGCTCGAACACAGAAGACTCAAAATCATGCACCGTCAAACTGTGCTTGCAGTCCCGTTTTTTTAAATATTTTTTATCTTTGTAAGATATCCCTCGAATTACGGATCCCTTGAACTACCGAGGCTGATCCCGACGAATTCGAGCTATCCATGTTATACTGTATATTTAACTGCAATTTTTGTAGTAATACATGAATGGTAATTTTGATGTGTTTCCGATGGTTGAACAGTGCCATACATGCATTCACTCTCTGAACTCAGAGGCACTCCTGAACATTCACTACTTTTACCCTTCTGTACAATTAATATATGTCTCGGCTTGCAGTGATGCAAATCTAGCACTCAATTGACTGTAAGGACCCTGTGAAAACAGTTGCCACAGGAAGGCAAAGCTAGGAAAATACTGGTGTTGGAGAGGCCATGTACTAACGGCCTACTGTCTAGGGAAACAATAGCTTCAGCGGAAATCACTATACCTTGGCTGTGAGAGATTGTGCTTTTGTATCAACCAGCCATTTAAGGAGGTGGGGTACTCAACCTAGGCCTTCCTTGCACCCTGAAATTTTAAAATGATTAATCACATTTTTCTTTTGTGTTAGTTACGTCATTGCGTTTTTCTTCACTGCCAAGAAGTTGTTGTGATGTACGGCGTTCCTCACATCTTGCGAAGCGTGAGGACCATGATGATGAAACATTCGTTGTAGGTGGTATTCTGCTTACTGCTTCTATTAGATGCATTTCTTAAAACTAATTGTAGATTCACATTCAGCAATATTTTTTTCCACAAAAAGAAATCTTTTCCTGTAAGAGATAGTAGAATTTACATACCAGGTCTAATTATAGGCAACTGACCCCTAAATCTAGTGCTACTCTTTATCCATGGGGGTCCAAAACTGCCCCGTGAAGCATGAACTGACCCTGTGCCATGAAGGGGTTAAGGGGACCCATCTTACTCTGTATGAATAGTATTATAGTATTTCTTATACTGCCCGATACCTGGTTGCAACCTTAGCTGATGATCTGTCGTTATTTCAATAAAAACACCGAGTGTTGTCTCGCCCGGCGCCGTATAGGTCCCGGCGGCGAGGGAGCCGGCTCTGTACTTTAGTATACTGACTGCTCCCCGGAGTTTCGCGGAAGGATTCATGCAAAATAATTCCAAGCCGATGACTTTATTCTAATAGAAAAAGAACTGTTTTTTCTATTGGTACCTTTTTTTGCCGATATTTTACACATTTCGTGTTAAAAATTATCTTTGAAAACTTAGACGCTTTTTTTTCAAGTTTTTCTTTCTAAATGCCAAAGGCCAAAAATAATAATCGCAGGAAACCACGCTCAAAGCTGTATAGTTCTCCGCCAATGTAAAGACGGTATTTCGCATTCTGACCATGAGGGGCTTCCCTTTCCCCGGCAATTCTCTAGCTCTGAATAATCAGATATACAAACAATTTACACTATTGTAATGAAGAAAGTCTGAACTTTTTCAAAGTGTTCCGCTCTTGGGGTTTTTTTTTTGCAAAAGAGCAAAGAAACAGAGATCTGAATTACCCCATTTTACCAAAACCACGCGCTCGGAAGGCCGCGAGTTGCCTTACGTGCAGTGTTTGCGCTACCTAATTATACCATAAATACACGAGAGAGCGCACACGCACACACACACGCACGCACACACACACACACACACGCACGCACGCACACACACACACACACTCACGCATACACCTACACACACATACAAACACACCAACACACATACACACACATGCACATAGACCACCTCGGTGACCTCTTGCTACGGAGTCCACTCTGAGAGATCTAGAGGAAAGTTAATTAATCTTTTAAAAGCACTAAAACACAATAAAAACTAATTTTTTAAGTCAATCCAAATGTAAAACTGAAAGATCAACAGATGATAACAACAAGCAGGGCACGCCCACACAATCAGCTGTTCACGTAAACAGGCTTGAAGTGAGCTAGAAGTTACTGTTGTTACGCCGTTTTACCAGTCAGAGCTGTTTACATTTCTGGCTATTCATGCTCGAAAAGGGGTTAAAATATAAAAATAGTTGCGAATGAAGAACGTTGAAGCGAAGACACTCCACTGGTGGAGAATCTTTGGTTGAAGCAAAGGTGGCCATGAGATAATGGTTCTAAAAATAATCTCACAGCTACACACAAGCAAGGTCCAAATTACTTTCATCTCCTCAACCAAGCTCACAACAAACCACACACACCTCTGTAATAAATCAAAATAAAATATTTATAGTCGATTATAGTTGTTTATTTTTATCTTAAAAGAAGCAGAAGACATTAAACTTTCAATAGATCAAAAAATCAAAATTTCATGGAAAGTCACTTTTTTTTGTCTTTCAAGCCTCGTAGCTGATAATAGCACACTGCGTCTTACGACTGATATTGAGTGGGGGAAACAGATATATTATTGCTGAACGAATATTATTGAAGAAAAGACAATAACAAAAAATCCTTGTTACTACCATTATTGTTATTTCGCTTTCACAAGAAATATCAACTTCCACAAAAGAAAAGACACAGTTTGTACTGGAATTGAGCTAATCAGAATATTAGATTTTCTTTCATTTGATGGCTATCATAAGGAAACTGTTGGGTTTTTTTGGGGGGGAGGGGTTGTTTGTTGGTTGTTGGGTTATTTTTTTCAAATTTTACTTTTGCGTTGTTTTTATTATTATACCATGTGCATAGCTCTGAAACATGACATTTACATATTCCAGAGGGTAATTTTCAAAGATTTAATGTTCAAGATGACTATTAACTCGCAAAGATGTAGTATTATAATATTCTATGTTCTCAAGAACTATACTTGTGGACCTTTTACTATTTGCCAAAAGTAAGCCTATCATAAGTTCAAGGGAGGTTTACATCTGGCTTATTCAGTCAATTCAACATTTGGGGTTGTATTTATTTAATACTTCTCTTGTTTGCTCAGTGAAGGCCTGTTGATATTTTTATACACCTGTCACTGGAGGGTTAGTTGGCTTGAGAAATGGAGCCAAAACTGATCCAGTGTCCCATTATGTATACAATTATTTACCACAATCATAACAGAGTACAGGTCATTATTTTGAAGTTATCAGGAAAAAAAAAGGATCATTGTGGTCTGAGCCAGGAAAAGATAATATGTGAGGCATCATGGTGAAATCAGGCGCTCGTCAAAATAATGAAATCGAAGAAAACAGCATTTTTCTGCCGGTTTGGCAATTTTTATCAAATTTTTTTTTTTTGGCATAACACCTTTTTATGTCCATTTAAAAACTCATTTCTATGTGGATTTTACTGAAAAACGTTGGTTAAAGGCACAAAAAATTGAAATTTTTACCGTTCCACAGACTCACAATATAAGGAAATAACCAAACTTTGATGGCCATTTTCTCGCTAAACTTACCTCTGAAACCAGGAGTCCCCTACCTCCTTCAATCATTAATATCTCGTCTTGTATTCAAGATAAATAGGTATTTTTAAAATCAAAAGCAAGGTAAATGAACACGCTTGAAGATGATACCAATAACTTCACATGCCCAAAATTTGACAAGCGCCTGATTCCACAGCGTCGTGACACATATTTTTGGGGGGTACAGAGATATTGGTATCATCTTTAAGCTTGCTCTTTTGTCTTGCATTTGGTGCCAAATTTCCCATGTAACTTGAATAGAAGTCTAGATATTCGTGATTGAAGGAGTGTGGGGTTGTCTGGTTTCAGAGGTTAGGTTAATTATCGAGAAAATGGCCACCAAGGTTTGGTAACTTCCATACCTTGAGAGTCCCTGGAAACTGAACTGCAGATTTTTTCAATTTCATTATTTCGCCACGATGCCTCACATATGAAGTTACAAAGTTGTTGTTTTTTTGTCGTTTTTTAAAAAAGATTTATCCAAAGCTGGGATCAATACCTCAGGCCATTATTGCTGTACATCGATGCTATGCATGATGGACATCATGTTTTTTGTAACTCAACTTTCATAACGGGATAAACAGAGTCAACTTTTATTTCTCACATACTTTTTCTCCTTGGCTTCTGCCCAAGGTCCCAATGCACTTCACTGAATGATCATGCGTGCTAAAATGTTCCAAACCCAATGTTATGTTTTCTTTGGGATTTCAATAAGCCCTCTCCAAATGTAGGCACACAATGTTGATGTGGATTATGGAGCCCTTATCAGCTCTGCTATCATCTCCAGTGGAGCCAGCTTCAAAGATTTGTGTTTATTCACGTTTCTGCTGATGACTTTTCTTAGAAATCTTTTTTTTAAACTTTTTCTTTTGCCATGTAATTGTATACATGTAACGTATCCCATGTTTATAGCTTTGTGACAAGACGTTTACCTATTTTATATAAGTATTATATGATATTGTATATACTCGCCTATAACATGCTTTCACATTAAGTGTGTGTGTGTGGGGTGAGGGGGGAGTTATACTTTGACTTCAAAATCAGTCCATTTTTGTTGGAAACGTTTATAATACAGGGTGAATTTCTGACATGTAGGAGGGGCCTCACCTTCATAAAACTAATTTCTAGGTGGGCATCAAGTACAGTGTCTTACCTTCCAGAGTTATTTGTTGTTGCATTGAGACTGATTTAATCTGTAGGACTGGAGTGGCAGGTAATCCAAGCAAGACACCGTGATAATCATCAATGGAAAGCCCTATTCAGCATTATCTTCCTTTTGTTGGGCCCAATCTTGGCTGTGTGTTCTGAGTAGGCAATAATAATACGGAGAGTTTATGATTTTGGGCCTCATTTTCCGGAAAAATCTTTTGTATTATTGGCAAGTTCATACAGCAATATTCAGAGATTTAAGACAGATTTATGTTTACACCTTGTGTAAAGTTGTAATATTTTATTTACTCAAGAATGATTAATTCATCCAGTCCGTGGTACGGTCATTTCCAGGTACAAGTTAAGCCTTGCTCAGGCCTGTATATGAATTATTTGATTTATTTTTCTTTCTTCTAGCTTTTAATTTGATGTTCCACTCGGGTTTGGATTTGGACATAGTGTTACAGTGTACTTTTTACAAAGTAAAGAATTGTTTTGATTGACAGTAATTTCCATATATATTCTAATGCCTTTACATTTATATACACACAATTTTGTATCTGCATTTTATTATTGTTTCAGATGGATAGTCACGTCTTTACTTGAAAAATACAGGGAGAGCTTTATCAAAGAACACTTCATCTGACTTTGTTTTCTTTATAATACATACATGTACATGTGTCTCTATTGGGGTGTCTAGCTTAAGAAAGACACCTTATTAGGTTAATTATCTTTATTATTCATCTCTCTTTGTAAGTATCACTCCCAATGACAGGACATGCCTGTGGCTCAGTTTGTGTCATGCTGGGCCATAGTACAGGTGGTCCTGGTTCAGATCCCTTCCTTAAGATCATTCAAGAACTTCAGTTTGATTCCTTGACATGTTTTCATCATAGTGGTAGACATGAAGTCGAAGGTTTTGCCACGTGAAATTAACTCACTGCCTTTAGTTAGGTGTGTCATTATGATTCTGTCCTTCCACATTTACGAATTTGTGATTTTCTTTTAGTCGGAGGACTGAATTGTAAACTTCTCCTCCTAGAAAAGGATCCGTCTGTACGTTTCAAGGGTCAGGGGGTGTCAGTTTGTTGCTCATACTTCTTTTTCCCCCTTTGTTGTTTCTTTCTGTCTGTCCTCCATGATTTTCCTAGCACTTAGTGGGTGTTATCGCTTCAGTATGCTTGTATTTACTGAAACTAGAGAAAACTAAACTAGGTCCCAAGTGATGTATCGCTTATCTTGTTCTCATTTTGGCTCTCATGTAGAAAGTTTTGTTGAATGGGGGCAGATTGTTGGAAGGGCGCCATTGGTTGGTCCTGATTCTTTTCTTTCCCTCTGCCATTTCTGTCCGCCTATCTGAAAAACTCTTTCGATGCACAAAATTGCTGTTATTCAGACAAACGAGCCTACCCCCCCCCTCCCCCGGGCGATGCCACTGACTGAAGGGTATTTAGGCCATCCCAAAGGCTGGACATTTCTCCTTCTAATGCACAGTAGAATTGTAAATGGGCAGGTCCAACAATGTCCTTCTCATAACTGTGCCTGAACTACAACAAGGAACTGCTGCTTTTTCTTTCCTAATCCTTAATATTGTCATTTCCTCTACTTTCTTTGTATGTTTGTCAAACTCTTGTGAC